CTTGACAACGTTTGAGTGATCCTCGGATGGTCTGGCCAACTCATCCACTACAGCGAACAATCGCACTATGTAACCCAAGTGTTGACCAGTTGATCCGTTCATAGACGAGAGGCAAAAATATCTTCCCACTCAGGCTGATACGTCACAAGCGTCCTTGGCTCTCAGATATTTTGACACTGCAGCAAACCTGGGATAGGATACTACGCTTCGTTCGTATCAAGCTGAATTGTTTCGTATCTCAACATCTCTTCAACCCAATTCCTTAGGTTCTGAAATGGCCAGTGTGTCTTCGTCAACGTTGATGTGCTTGAAATGATAGCAGGGCCTGCTTCCTTGCTGCCCCGCTAAGCGCGGCCTATTCAGCACCGGTTTCGCTCCATAGACGAACCACCTCGCCGTGGAGGAGAGCGTGAGACGGTGTCTTACTATCTCTACTAAATCATAAGTACAGTACTAGTTGTGTTTGACCGCCAAGCCTTGAATTAGACAGATACCTCGATGCCAGAACCGAAGTGTATTGAGTGGCTCGAGAATGAGATAAGAGACCTTGTTGTAGTATACGATGGATAGCTACATCTCAGATGCATGGATATGACTGTAAAAGTCTCATATCAGACTATGCACCTTTCTACTCCGTACAACCGCAATGAGCCTACAAAGATATTCACAAGAACTTCGGTACATCCCAGCAACGTGACCTATTGCCCTTATGCTTATCTACCGAGTCCACCGAGAGGTAAGACAGCTCCGCCATAGACGCGCTCGAGCCAGGCATCAGCTAGTCCTGAATTGCACATTCAAGGCCGTAGCACTGTCACTGAAGCTTCTGGCACGGATTTCTATGCTGTTTAGTAGGTCCGACTATATGCTGAGCAAGGTTTGAGCGATTTGCACCATGCCCATAAGGCGCTATTCGCTGGCACGAATCACTCGGGAGTCTTCAGATTGAGGTCCTTTATATTCAGCTCATAGAGTCAAACCACATCGTACCTCGATTTCATGAGTCAGAGGCGTGGACAGAAGCCTTGGAAAGTCGACCAAATCGGAAAGACATAGTGGCCAACGGCAACGTTGGTGTCAGCGAAGAGAATTACTCGAGACAGTTGTTTCTCTCAACACAGAAACCATAACATCATATGTTTCAAATGTAAGACGAAGAAAACAACAGAACAAGCTGCGAGCATATACTTTCATATTGTGCTGTGTTGTGGTAACTCGATCATCTGCACAAGGGTGAGCGTTGAGTTTGCACGACAATCGCCTCATATACTAAGATGGACGCGATTAGTATTGACCAACGCTGGAGGGCTTCCTAAGGCTTGGGAGCCACCTCTTTCCCACAAAGATGCCATCTCCCAATCGTAAAATCATCTTCAACTCGTCTCGGTCCCCTCGAGATGTTGATTTAGTAGTCTGGGCCGGTGGGAAATAGTATTAATCCGCTCGCTGGACGCAGAAACAAAAAGCCGGACCCCCGCGTTGGCGCGATCATCCCGAAGGTGTGAAACTATATCATCAATCCCACATGCGATCCCAAGCTCGAATTGTTCCTGACTCTCTCAATTTTGTCGCGCGATCATGCTTGCTGCGTCAAGCTCTCAGCGCCGACGACACACGGCGCTAGCCCCTTCAACATGCCTCTCCGCCCAGGCAGTTTTAGCCTGTAAAACCTTGCCTGCTGTCACTCGCGTCCTTCCGTCCTCCAACTACCTCCTTCCGTCATCACTCCGGAGCCTCGCTCCACCATCAACGCCCACCTTCTACGCGTGACTATCTACTTTATAGACGCAATGAACTCCCGCGAGCATTCTGATATGCCTCCGGCTACGTCCTACCCGTCTCCTAACGCGGCGCAAATGGCACAGGGCTCCATGCCGTATTATGGAAATCGCCAGTTGACCACCGACGAACTTTTGTCCGCCGAGCTCTCGCGCGAGACTTCCGGACCAGGCCTGAACGACGGTTCGAGCAACGGCGTGCATCACGGCCAATCGATGGTCATGGGCTCGTCCAACCCCGGTGGCGCTGATATGGGACGCCCTTCGTCGCCGGACCAACACCAACAACATATGCTGCAGTTCACTCCCAGTCAGCAGGTCGGCGTCGATCCGAATCATGATCTGAGTTATGGGGACCAGAGCGCTAGAAGGAAGAGGTCGAAGATTTCTCGGGCCTGCGATGAGTGTAGGCGCAAGAAGGTAGGAATCCTATACTTCATCTTTTTTTTTTTGGCTTTCGCGTTTTCTTTTTGCGCGACGCCACACCATCGTTCGAAGGGCTTACATGATTGTTTACTAGGTCCGCTGCGATGCAAGCTCTGAATCCGGTGTCGAGACCTGCTCGAACTGTCGTCGACTCGGCGTCGCGTGCCAATTCAGTCGTGTGCCCATGAAACGCGGTCCTAGCAAAGGGTGAGAAGCGCAGCGCCAGTTGCTCCTCAGGATGTTGGAACGAAGTTGCTGACTTGGGTCGTCAGTTATATCAAGGAACTTGCGGAGCGTCTACACACTCTTGAAAGTCAGATGCAGCCTGCTATGGTGCACCCGGACATGCCGTACCAGGCCATGAATGAGGTGTCGCCTCCCCGACCCTACCAGGAATTCTCCCCACCAATGGATGCCGGCCCTATTGGTCGTAAGAGGACCTATTCTGTCTTTGAAGGACTGCCGGCTGGACTGCCTAATACATCTTATTCTCAGCCTCAGTTCAACCCCAGAGGTTCGCAGAATGCATTCGGTTTGTCTGCCTTACCTGTACAAGGTGATGTTACTTGACTGACTTTGATAGATGCTGGCGAGACATCGACGGATCCAATGAACCCGTCGGTCATGGGAAACACCGCACCCAAGCCCGGAAATCTATTCTGGTCGACTGGAAACGAGCATGAGATTCCACATGGCCTTGACATCCCGGATGTAGCTAAACACGGAATCGAAGAGGACATGACTCCTTTGGATGTCGATGAAGGTGCTCTCAATGCGTAAGTTCGTTCTATAAATTCCTACCCTTTTGCAGTATGGTCGCTGACTATAGGCAGTTACTATGCTAAAATTCACACCATCTTGCCCATCCTGCCGCACTCGAAGGACCGTCTACTAGAGATTCTTCATCAATGTAGCCGCGAGGTCCAGGAGGTGTTCCTGTATGCTTTGTACACTGTGACGCGCACGAACTTGGACCGCGTGCTAAGCACCTTCGAGAGAGTGACATCGTTTGATAATGCGCAGGATCTTCTCTTATATTACACTCGGCAGCCGGCCCTAGTTCGTCCTACCGCCGTCAACTTGGTATGGCTTCAGACTACGCTGCTCATGATACTGGACTGTGACTCGCGTGGTCCCGAGAACATTGTTCTTAAAGATGGGGTGCCAAAACATTCTTTGATTCAGTCCGCCACCAAACTCGGTTCTGATATGGCAAAGACTCTCGATCAACTGAAGGCTAAACGCTCGACAGATGCCGACGTGGACTCAGATGCAAATCTAGTGCGGCGCAGCTGGGTATCTCTAGCTATACTGGCGCGGTGGTATGCCATCAGTGTAGCCGATCCGAGCGTCTTGGTGAACCAGGAGATAGGCGGTCGGGAAGATGAGCGCGTTCTTGGATCGGTCACCGCAGGGATTGGTGGTACGTTTTGACTTCCTTTTTTTTTTATCACTGTGCTTATCTGCTAACATCAATTGTTCTTAGCTTACTCTTCGTTCCTGGTCGAAATGACCAGCCTTGCCGCCATCGAGCACAATGTCTGCCAATCGAATACTGGACTGGGTCGCATGGTCGCTGCGAATTTGGTTGCTTCTCTCGAACGTCTGGGACAGGTTGAGGACCTCCGGAAGCCATATGATGCAGCCGAAGAAGCAACATCGCATGGGTTTTCCGAAAGCCTGCAAAACCAACTCTACTGGACTGTCCGTCTGCTCATCAAACGGCATATCTTTGTCTACAGCCCTTACGAAATCATCTACTGCGCCGTGGAGGTCGTCAATGAGTTGCATAAAGCGACTATGGAGTCCCGCCCCGCGACGCCTTTTGATCTCCACAGCTTAGCATTAGCCTCCATGACCTTGCTCGAAGCCACTGTTCTACCGGAACATACAAATGAGTGCTGGGACACGCTTAGAAAGGTTGAAGAGATCCTCGACCACCGCGCGAAGGTGTCTGCCGAAGCTACCGAGTTCGAAAATATCTACGCCACGCCTAGCTGGGACTCGAAGATTCGCATCTTCATAGACTGGAGGCGCTCGCGAGCCCAGGAACCTCAGCATCAGGATTCCGGCGTCAACAAGACTAGCTCTACAGTGCCCCCAGTCATGGGTCCAAACGAGCAGCGCTCCCTTCAACATCTGGCGGATCTCGCCGTCGGCGCTGAGGGGTCCGTGGCTGCCAACGCGTCTTCGCCGCCACCGCTCACCTCGACCGAGAATAACGTCAACACGACATCGCCCCATCTGGCGTCGTCATCTGCGCACCAGACAAGCCGCGTTGTCGTCGACTTCACTCTTCTCACCAAAGAGGGCTATCTGAATGTCTTTTCGGGGTTGATTTACCGTCGAACTCGCTGAGGTCGGAGGCCATCCTCGGCAATACCACATGTATTGACTATGATCGATAGGTCCCGTTTCTGCTAATCTCATCTCATATACTGTATCTGCGTACTCTTAGCCTGATCTATACCTTGTCTGTGTGAAAAAAAGCTTCAACGCTGTTTCCGTTTGCTACTGATGTACGTCATCTGACTCATTACACTTTGTACTTTTATTATCACTTAGGTTGGATAACTTCTCCCAGAACAAAAGTTGTCTTTTTATACGTGTGCCCGCCACTATGATAAAAGTATAACAAATGCTTATCTGATACACGCTTGATCATTCGCATGTCACATAACAGGATACTCTGAACACCCTTGTCCTCAATCTGTAGCCTCGCGTTCAAGAATAGATATATAACGTGGACTAGATGGAATCAATTACGAAGAGAAACAAGATGCAGAGAACCAGACATCAACTCCCAAACGCAATCCGCCTCCATATACCCTCTACATCCTGACAAAGTTTAATAAACCCATCGTTCTCAAGATTCTGACAGATCCAGTTCTCCAGGCGTGTCGTGCGCTCTTGTGTAGGCGCAGAAAGATACGATGAGAGGTCTGCGGCCGTAGGATCTTGTTGTTCGCGCCGGTGAACTATATTATTACTGCTTTCAAACATGAGTTGCTGCTCTGTGCTCCGTTGCTGAGTTCTGGGTATGGTAGCGGGCTGAGCGAGGGAGTTTATGGACTGGATGGGTTGAGTAGGCGGTTCCTCGGTCAGCGTCAGCGGTGGGACAGAAGTGATTGAACGTTTCATGGCACCAGGTGTTGCTGTTCTTCTTCTTGGAGTGGGCCTTTTCGTCGCCGGGGCCTGACTCGAGGGTGGCGCTGCAGCATCGTTTTCCGTGGTTGTAGGGATTTGATCCCCTGCGCTGAGTGGTTGAGACTGGGGCGTGGTGGAGGGTTCCTTTGCTGTTGTGCGGGATCTCTTCGCTGGCGGTTTTGAGAACGGTAACTCCCTTTTTGGCGGGAGGAGTTGGCTCAGTGTCGTGATATCGTGGCAAGCTGCTGTGGTGGACGGCTTGGGAGGAGCGCTTGGAGCGTCGGCTCTGGTTTCTTCTTCCTCGGTGTGTGGTTGTATGGTTCGTTGAGGTTGTCTTGCTTCTAGATCGGTGTAGCTGTTGGTTGATCCTGTTCCACTTGTGTCTGGAGCCGTTGCTTGAGCTGTACCAGATGAAGATGGAGGTAATGAAGATGCTGTCAGAGGGCTTGTGTTAGCAAGAGTTTGTTGAGGTGTGGACTGCGTGCAGCGCTACCGGCAGTGATGCTAGATGCACTTCCTAGTGTAGAAGCGGATGGTAGTACTGGGAACAGGGCTGCGCTCGCGCTGGAAGGGAAGGGATCTCTAATGCCTAGGTTAGACGGCCCTGAGCGTGAATGCCATTGTGAGGATGTCGGTCTTCGAGCGAGCTGCGATGAGCCAACATTCGACTCCGAGAATGGACACCTGATATCGCTTAGGATTGCCAGAGCTGTGTAGAATTCGCGGTCCGAAGAGAACTTGAGCTGGAACCGACGGATCTTGACTGCGTCAGAGGAAATCCACACTGCGAGGTAAGTACGGCTTACGAATCCGTTGCCTGTTGGATATTTCACCGCGAGACAAGGTGACTTGACCACCACGGCGAAGAGGGGCCTGGGATAGCCGCTTTGTCCCGACATGTGATGACTAGAGGTTTCTTGGATGAAGTGCCCAAGATCAACTTCTTCCTGCAATTGTTAGGTCATTTATGGGTTAATTAGTGCTAACATCTCAAGGGACTCCGAGACTGTGGGACAATACCACAATATTCTGGTCCTGAAACACTCTCAGAAAGATTGGGCTCCGAGCTGAGGATATCCCTCCTGAAGCCTTGTGAAAACAACATACAATGTCTCCGTTGCTGAAAACATGACTCCAGTTCAATGGACCGTTATGATGAATGCTGGTTGTGGTATGAGAAAACTTTGCGAGGGACAACCGAGCCAGCTGAGTAGATTCATGAACTCTTTGAGATAAATGATACATCAGGAAGTTCCTTCGTTTCTAGTCATAGGTATAGAAGGATAAGCGATCCGGTCTAATTATACTGAGTAGCAGGAGGATGTCATCAGAAATCCTATGATAAACGAATACCAAATGCACAGTGGGCGGTATGGCATAGTCAACATGCGAGGCTCAGCAACCAGATGGCCTCAGGCAGTCATACCCAAGTTCTTCTCATAAGTGTTGATTCTTTCTATATAATGAATGCTCGAGTGCTCATCCATTCCGACATTAATAATCCTTGGTCTCGATGGGAAAATAACGATCTCATAAACATTACAATACAAAAGAACATCAGTGTGACCAAGCGCAGGTATCCAAGCAGCAGCAGGAAACCTGCTGGCAGTGGCAGTAGAAGTTTCTATCTCGATATTGACGTTGAGGTCAAAAGGCTGAATAGAAGGAGTTGTATGCCTGAGGCATCAACAACTCTTCCACTTCCAAACATAACAAACACGACATGACATTCCCGGCCGGAACAGCATTTATTCCGGGCACGCGCCTGAGGCCAAAGCAGATGGGCGGACTTTTTGCCTGGGATGCCAGGAACGAGGATCGCAGGATCAGCTTCCTCTACACAGCTTGAAGGAGCACAACCAGGTCATTGACACTTGATTTAGGACTGCCCTTGTCGCGACTTAATTTCTCCACTGCAGAAAGAAAATCGCATTCTTTCCTTCGGATTTGTCCTCTCGAAGCTTCGTTGCTTTCACAGTTGTAGTCGCATTGATCGAGTTGGCTTCCGATAGCTCTAAATCGCGGCCGATCTCCCTTCGCGGGGTGACAATCAATCAAGCTTCGCAAACATTCACCTTGCCTGTGAAAGCCAACAGGCTGTATTCCTATCGCTCGTTCAACCTGCCTCATCTCATCCTCTCCTTTCGAACCCGCCTGGACGAGTAGCCTGACACCCTCAGCAATTTCTACGCCGGCGCGTCTCAAACAGGACTTCTCTTCCAACGAAGCGAAACCGGTCTCAGCACGTTATAGTGGACATATTCTGGAGCAACGTCGGCGTGGTTAAGTCTAGCCAACGCGGTTCAGTTCGTCCCAGTAGCGAAGAGAGCGTCCCCAGGAAGCATTGGGATCAAGACATTCACTGGGTTACCCACAATGTCGAACAATACACCGCGCTCATCCTTACGAGGCAAGTATCTCATCCCTTCTAGGATGATTTCCGACCTAGTTTCGCTGACTGGATTAAAGAAGGCTTGCGGCAAGCTCCAAAAGCCAACCAACCCTTCATCCCAGACACTGCACCTGTTCGACGCTCACACTCAAATGCGCACCAGTCGCCGCAGCCAACCGGAGCACATACATATTCCACCGGGTCAATGGGGTCGAATATTCCACAAGGAATGGAGAATTGGGAAGGGAGGGATCAAAGACAAGTTCCAATGTCCACGCGTGAGGTAGCAACGCCCGGGAACAGACCTGGCCTTTTTGCGACCCTGCACGATCGAGGGAAGGTGGCTAAGCAACCCGATTTCTATGATCCTTACTTTCCGCTCAAATATCTCGAGGTACCCAAATGTACGTGAACTGTGCCGTCGGATTACTCCCCCTGCTTGTCGAGGCCTATTACTGACACTGCCATGCAGCCGATCATATTTATAAAAGAGCCCACTACGGTTTACAATCAGGAATTCCCGATGAGGTGGACTTTGCATTGTATCACCTTGTTCAGATTTCGAATCAACGATGGGATAAATTTAAGTTTGAAGGTTTCCCTTTGCTTGCGGAGAACCTCATGGCAAAGGCCCTGGATATTTCCCTTGTCACAACCGGAGTGAAGTGGGACCTTCAGTATGATTTTCGGCAGCCCAGTGATCGCGTCAATGTGCTGAACTCACTACATGGCACCCGAGATCTATTGGAGAAGATCAAACAAATACCAGTTACATTGCCGGAAGACACCCTCGAGACGTACGAATTCAACCATCTTCTGCGCAACGTTAAAGAGGCGACCTTGGTTCTGCGGAACATGGTCCTTCTGAAAGAGAATGCCTACTATGTGTCACGGTACGCGAAAGGCCTGCTCCGAGACTTCCTCGTCGTTATGATCAACATGCCCAATCAGCCTCGTCTCAACGAGATCAAGAACGACGCGTTGGACATTGCAGAGGAGGTCACCAAGTTTATGAAGACCGATCCGGAAGATCCACTTTGGATCTCACTTCTCAATTGTCTTGAGTCGCCAGATCGTGCTCACGTGGTCCGCGCACTATGGGCTCTCACCCATTTCTCCACTGAATTAGACGAGCCAGAGGCGAACCGGGCAATGGAACGGATACCAAAGGAGACTTTGCAGCAGCTCTACTTTCACACTCTTCTCGACTTGGACAAAGATATTCTCAGTGGTGCATTGGACTTCTGGTACCAGTATACACTTTCATCCGAGAATGTTGAGTCTTTGATTGAGGTCTTCAACTTGCCTACCGTCTTCGTCCCCCGGATGGTCGCATTATTAACGCACGAAGGCCGACCAAGCAAGAAGGAAACTGTGTTGCAAGAAGAGAAGGTGGCCCCCCCGCCGTCGGATATCCCTCGTGTGCCGCCTGAGCTCATGAAAGAGCTGATGGAGCTTTCGGAGCCTGAACGGAGCTCGCGATGGCTCCGATGCTGCTTTGTTGAGGACCTCGAGTGCGAGATCACCCAAATTGCATTGTGGCAGGCGTATCAGAGCAGATTTGCAGACCCTCGTCTTCCTGGTGGCGGTGTTCTCCCTGCCGCTGAATTCATCAAAAACGTCAGTACGACTTTCACGAACGCGCAGGCTCAGGTGATCAATGGTCCTGGTGCAGCGACAAAATTCATCATCAAAGGCATTCGGCCCTTGGAGACCGCCTATACCTTCGAGGGCTTTCCCTACATTTACTGCAAGTGGGCGGACAACTCGAAACCAAGCAAGACGTGTCAGCGCGCTTTCAAGTCGCCGGCAGAACTTCGCCATCATGTCTTCACGGAACACATGAATCTCAAGCCCACTGAAACGCCGGGACACTACAACCTGGAGAAGGCAGAATCGCCCGTTCATACCTGTCTTTGGGACAACTGCACGAAATTCCGGTCGTCCGGTCCTAGTACCAATACTGCAATGGTCGCTGGGCACGTTTCCGCACATTTGCCCGAGGAACGTGCGCCAGATGCGGAGCCACCGACATCCAAACGGGCGGTTCTCCAAGAGCGCATCGTCCGCAAATGGTACTACCTGGACACTCCAGTCAATGAGCGGGGCGAGCCGTTCGGTGTGGCCTACAAGGCGGCGTTAGTACTGCGCAATCTTGCCCGAAACCTGCCTACGGGTATTGCACCGCAGTACAACGGGCTCTCTTGGAAGAAAGCCGTCTTCCTCAGTCATCGTCCAAAGATCGTCGAAGCATGGGACCGTAATCGCTCATTGCGTAAGGAACTTACCGAGTTGATCATGGTAATAGAAAAAGAGGATTACTACTGAACCCGGGTCGAGAGAAACGAAATGAACAGTGGATGATCCTCCCCTTCAAATATGACTGTTCGTTCTCCTTTCGAACTCGCTAGTCCTTGTCCTTATTCTTCTGCATGGCCATTGATGTACAATAATACCCTTTTACTTTCACATGATATCTTTCGATAATCTTTTCTTTCTTTTCCATTCTTTCACTTCATATGAGGAACTCCTCACCTCAATCAAAAGGTGGTTGTTTTGCTCCTACCGTCCACCCTTCAACCTTGGTGAGGGTTCACTCGCAATCTGAGATACACGGCGTCTGGGTTTTGGGGGTAGGAATCTGCTGGATGATGCACGGTTTCCTTTAACGATGTACTATAGGTAGATCGCAGCCAGAAAAATGATTCTAATTTGCTAGGTGCTCAATGATTCCAGGTCACTTATAAAATTCATCGGAGCGTGAGAGCTCTTATCATTTTCGTCCCTTAAGCCGCTTCAGCTTGGTATCGCGAGAAATCAATGGTGTCATAGTTTAAGTCTTCGTAGGGCAAACATGTACACCTCACCGGGACTCTCAACATTGCATCACGGCATTCTACTGCGCAAATATCGGGCCGCGGGCTGATTCCGGCAACTGTCTCGGGGAAGGAGTTGGTATTGAGCGAAGTGGTGTGGTGTCGCCTAAGACCGGGACAGGGGATCCATCTGGTCGTGAGTTCAGAGTAGTGTCGTCGCTGTTTCTTGGAAGTCGAGGATGAGCTGTTCGCGAAATGTTCATCGACTTGACCGTCGTCGGATTTTGTGACCCGATAGTCCGTGTTCGATGCGCGGTGTCGCTGTCGCTTGTATGGAAAGTAGATGCGAATCAAACCAGCTCAACTCAGAGGCACAGCCCATAGCGGTTTCTACGTCGAGAAAATCAACGCCATGCCACAAACGCTTTCGTATTTCTGCCTCAGAGCCTCGCAACGAGCGGTTTCTTTCTGGCTGCTACGATCCGCATGCATCCTTGCTCACTCAGTGCGTAGGTAGGCAGCAGCAGTACAGACGGCGAAGGCGAGCGCTTCCGGTGCTGTGTGCCTCGATTTATAGTCAAGGTCGGGTTTGTTCCCCAGCAGAAAAGACCCTCAGCAACGGACGATGGAGGATCTTGAAGACCGGATCACTTCGCTAGAAATACAAATGAACTAGAATTTGTCGATAAGCCTGGCGCCCTGAACGCGTCCTGGCCAGACAAGGAAAACGTGAAGTAATCTCAAAATTTTCGAGCACAGCAACGAGCTGGACGACTACTGCCACTCATTAGTTGGAAGACATTCGATCTTGTTCAGAGCACTGGCCAAGACCCATCTGTATCGCTTGTCTAGTCAGTCAGTTAATTAGTGCCCATAGCTCAGGTTGAGTACGACAAGTTGTTGACGTGATTGACGTCCCTAGTCATAACATTTGCCGAAAAGGGACTTGCGGAGAACGAAAGAGGCCTCGATGACACTACATTGTTGGCATCCTCGACAGCGGTATTGATCTTCGAGTGATCTACAGGAGATACCTAAACGCGCGGAGGTTGTACCCGATCGAGTGCTATAGAGTCTGAAGAGACGGAAGCAGACGAGAATAGTCTTGCGATGACACTGCGATCATGTCTCCAGTCGAGATACTCGCTTCGTCAGGTTATATCAGGTTCAGTTTCAGGCGAATGTTCGCATCCCATATTTCGGATTCGGGGCAGCATTTAGGAGATATGTCGATCACGAGACAGAGTACATGCAGCATTGTTCGATACCATGAGGGCCGGCTAAATTCGCCGATGTAGCCTAAACTGCTGTCGTGTAGTTTCACCCCCTTTTTCACTATGCAATGCCCTTTCAAGAAATAATAATGAGATAGACAAGAAAACGCATTATCCAATAGTCTGAGAAGCAGATAGTGCTGCTGACGGCTCAGGTATTCTTGTCGCCAGCCTAAAAGAGTCCTAACCTGTTTCCCTAATGGGTAAGCAGCTCGTGACTCGACCTGCCGACACTGTGGTGTTGCCCCTTAATCTTCATTCACTCATTCAGAGCTGTGCAGGCTCTCTCTTGGGCTTCACTGCCTACTGTGTATGTTCTCTTCATAGCGGACACCAGTTATCTAATAACCGCCACTTTCCAGGCTTATCCTACAAGATCGACGCCATTCTTTTACATAGTGCCTTTCTCTGGTCAACTGTGCGTCTTCAATGCAATCAAAACGTGCACAGAGGCGTGGACCCGCCATGGAGGCGTCGAGGCGTCAATGCTGCGCCTTTCCCTTTTTGCGTTAATCTCGCCCGAGTTAAAGCCTAAAGATTGAAAACTCAAGACTAGAAACGCCCAGACTCGATGGTGGATGGGTGGATACAGGCTAGTATGTCATTCTCACGCCACTGGTGACTGGGCACTGGTTGCAATAGGCGGCGAAAAATTTGCCGTCCTGAAAGTTCATGTCGATGATCATCATCGCAACTATCGACAATTCCAATCCACTGCGGTCTCCTCGTGATAGAACCAATGGATCCCAGGAAGCTGGATCTGGATTAGCCCCTCGCACGAGCAACAAGCTTGGCTATACGGACTACGGAGTAGCATGATGAAGATGGTAGTCTACTCCGTATAGCGCGAACCTGGGAATGGAGACACTAGACAAGTCGTGCATATGATCGACATGATCGCGCACAAGATCATGCCATTGCGCCAGGACGCAGATTACCCCTCGTGCGACTTGTGTCCCAGACGAACGTAAGTATTGCACAGAGCTTTGTCCTGAAGATGAACGAGCCCTTGGACTAGATCTTGAAGGTCAAAGAGATAGAGAGTGTGTCTCCTGCTCATCAAGGATCGGCCATCTATCTCTCTTGTTGCAGACGTTTATTCTTTTGACGGGCGGGTCGAAAGTGGCATGAGGAATACCACCCAGATACTCAACCAATTATTGGCTCGCTAAACTGACAGTCATGCCGACTGAGCCGTGGTTCACCACTGCGCCAAACCTAACAGTGGTGAATTTGTCTCTGTCGCTGACATTTGAGTACGTTTGACGTCCGTTCTCCTTCGAACGGGAGGGGGTGTCTCCTGGTCACTTTTTTGAGGAAACCCATGAAAGCATCAGGCTTCCCAAAGTCAAAGTCGTATTATTGTCATAACTTTTGAGAGTCCGAGTCCAGACATTACAACAATGTCTTTATTCGGAAATGGTTACCGCACCGTGAGAGTCTGATAAAGATGGTTCCTGGAACATACGGAGACATTCCGTATGTCATCCATGGGCATACTTTCCGCGTTCTGAACCATATTTCTACCCTCCTGGGAGTCCTGGGCAACCTATTCAACCAAACGAGGCAGGGAGCAGGCCAAGCATTCCACCAGCATCCATTCTGATCTGGTGGCATTATCCCTTATTTTGGCCTACGTAATCCCCAATTCGGAAAGGACGAGTCTGCGCTATGATATTATCCTTCTTGGCCAGTTGCTAGAGCCCGTCCCATGTAATTTCTAGGTGTCACTGTATCAGTCTCCTGAAAAGCCAAGTCTACTTGAAGGATGTTCCCGGATATACTGGAAGCCCTAAAGCGCCGAGTATGACTATCCAGTCGTCCAAGAACCAATGACTGAACGACGATTTGCCGATCCTTATTCCAATTTCTTCACGTGGAGTTTAGACTCTATCCTGATTCCTGAGGCGTCTCAGCGTCTGGTCACTGGCAAAAACTTTCGACCGACATCAGCTCCAGGTTCCACATTAACTTCCGGTACTATCACTCTATTAGACAATGACTACTATTAGGCTATCGCTTAACTAACTGTCCATGAACCTTAAGAGTTAAGACGCCAGCCAATGGACCCTAATAGGATATTCCTGATTCAGGCATTGTATCTTGAGGCCTGAGCGTCCGTAGTGCAATCCGAACTTGGCCCCCGTCATGATAAGATTTCTGGTTGGAGCCCGAAGGATGGACTACTCAACTCTCTCTCCGCTTTTTTCGGAGTCTAGCGATATAGGTTTTAGATGATCCCATGTTTCTGGTCTCAGATGGGGCCTGGCATTTTTCAATAATATGGAGCTTGCATCCTCTGAAGTACTCTCCTACATTGGCTCTCGATCTTTCTAACCTCTGTCTCACTCCTTCGCAATGTGCACCACATCGAGAATAACTGATATTGGAGCCTCTCCCAACTATTGAGCACCACTACTAGGCTGTTCTGAAAGTCACTCATTACTATTCTTACCTCACACGATCCTTACTCCTGCTACCTGCACTACAATCTCTATCAACTCGGTCTTCCGTCCTTTCGCGTCTTGTTCTTCCTGGGGCCCGGTGCGAAAAAGATGACATTCGGAACACCCCGCGGCCGGGAGGCCCTCTCTCTCAGTATTGCATTTACTACTTTAGCCACTGTTTTCACGTTTATCCGAATTTACACCCGAGCATTTCTTGTGAAGCAGATGGGCGCCGATGATTGGGCTATTATTGTGGCCCTGGTAAGCCTTTCGCAGGAGTTCCATAGCCGGGGACGGATTTGTCGGCTAACCCTCGCAGGCCTTTAGTTGGGCTTTTTTCGGTCTGTTTGTTGGAGGTATGCAGATACCAGTTCTGAAGCCATGGATGGCTGTACATGTTTGCGTTTGGTACTGACAGTGGACAATCAGAGGTCAAGTATCTCATGGGAGAGCATTATGAGAAAATCCCGCCAGCCATTCTTGTCAAACAAATGAAGGTAGGAAATACCTGTTGTCTTATTCGTTTTGACGTCCGGCTCATGTGTACCTTCAGTGTTTCTGGGCAACGATACCCTTGTATCAAGCGAGTCTGCTTACTACCAAAGCCTCGATTCTCCTACAATACAAACGAGTCTTCTCGACACCGCGCATGCGTTTCGCCTGTTGGTGCTTGATTGGATTTTTGGCCACGTACGGATCGTGGACATTCATCAGTGCCTGGGTCACTTGCGTCCCTGTGTCCAAGTTTTGGCATGAAGAGCAGCCTGGGTATTGTCTTGACAAGAAAGCCCTTTGGTTCTCCAACTCTGCAATCCACATTTTCACGGATATCCTGATCTTGGTATTCCCCATGCCATCACTCAAGAACCTGCAACTCCCCAGACGACAAAGGTACGCCCTTATGGCCGTCTTTGCTCTGGGTTCATTGTGAGTTTTGTTCCTTCCCTAGTTCCCCCCACACTTGGGTTGCTAACAGTCCACGCAGCGTCTTGATAACGAGCATTCTCCGACTGAAGAGTCTCATGGTCATCTCCAACTCGTCTGATCCAACTTGTGCGTTTTCCACGTCGACATCAATCTACCAAAGACGCAAACTAACTCTCAGCTCCTAGATGATAACCCAGGCGCTGCCATGTGGTCCGCCATCGAATGCAACGTCGCCATCATCTGCGCCTGCCTCCCCGGCATCCGCGCCTTTATCTCCAAGCTCCTCCCCCGCTTCCTCTCCAGCTACAAGAGCAAAAGCAACACCCGCACCAAGACCCAACGCAGCCGCGTCACCCAGTTCTCCAACTTCCATGCTTCCATCGCCGGCCGCCAGCCCGATTTCCACATGCAGTCTGTCAGCCACGGCCCGGAGGGCGGCGACTACAAGGCAAGTGATTTCGAGGACGGCACTCCGAATAAGATCAAAGTCACCACCATTGTGTCGCAGGAATCCGTATCGAATGATGCTTCGAGTGTGCGGCAGTTATTATAAGGGTTGTTATTCCTGGACCGGGTTCTTTCTGCCGTGTATGATTTCTGGATCTCGTCTAGAGATCTGGACTAAGTGATGACGCTAATGATTTATTAATACTAATTCTATATCCATGTTGCTTGGCTTTATGCCTTGCAGTCATCTATATGCTATCCTGCTCCTAGCTAATATCCTAACGTAGGGCAATTAGCCAGCTGACCATAGTGCTTATGCTAGATGTCCTGAAAGCAGAGAAACTACGTAGAGGGAGACATAAGGTGGTAAGGATAAGTTATATTGTGATGAGTTTCAGGCGAGGTTGAGCTAGAAGTGTACTCCTGATCACAGATATATTTGTACAAGCACATACCAAGTTTTGCAGGTTTTCCCTCGCCAAATTTTCTGTGATTAATCCAACGCCAATAGGCAAGCTACGCCAGTTCAAACATAAAGATATCCGCGACTCACGAGTTATGAGGACTTGGCTGATTACTCAACGGAACAGATTAGGTGGATCAGGATGCGACCTGATGACCACTTGTGGGGTACGTGATGAGCTGAGAAACCTGTATTGAACGTGATTGTTGGCAAACGGGCTGAGGCATGCCTGATAGGACCGGATATGAGTATAGGTAGTCCATCATGTTTGTGAAGGTTGAGATGGTACTGGCTTGGACACCGGCCTCGATTTGAGCTATCAGTTCGGCCAAGAGCTCCTTCAAACTCGGCTCTGCAGGCCCCCATTCGGTTAACACCTTCTGGGTAAGCGCGTCGTCGGGCAATCTGCTCAATGATCTCCTCATGCGCTCTTTATCCAACGCCCTCCAAGAATCGTCTGGTATCAAGTGGGCGGCCTGTAAGACGGCTCGTGCGACGATGCGCTGGCGCCTTCTGTCCGTACGCAGGTCAAGCCGGTCATAGCGACGGCTAAGGGTTGGGTCGACTATGGCTGTGATTTGGTTGAGGTGCTTGTCGAGTACCGCCCTCAACTTACTGTTCTCTTTTCCTAGATCCTGAAGAACATGCTGCGACGACGCGAGGATGTCCCTGGTCTGGAGCTTTTGCGCGGAAATATCCCCGAAGAACTTGTTCGATGGTGTTCAGCACACGGTTGCACTCCTCTATTCCTTGCTGGGCCGCACTGTGGTCAGCGGTATGCTTGCTCAGTTGTCGCCGACGATGATCTAGCAGGCTACTTTCCGACGCCAGCCTCGTCCGTATCCTCCCCTCCTGTATCTGTGCATGCAGCGGGTTGCCCCACCGCATATTGGGCATGCTTGCCATTGCCATTGTCCGACTTAGGCTCCACATTAGATCGCTGACCTTTTTGTCGGTCATATTCGGTGAGCTAGATGCTGTTAGAAATATATAATAAGGGCGCGGAGAAAGACGGGCACTGACGGACCTGTATCTCATGCTTGTTTAACTCCTCGATGCACGCAACCGCCCGGCCATGCTCTAGCTTGGTCCGCCAGACAGGATCGCCCAGCTGATGGCTGTCAGTTGCGAATCCACGCTTCCCAGAGACCCAGGTGTCGCCGTCCGCCTAGGTCTCCCACGTGAATTTGGCGACAGGGCCGAAAATCCACCCGTGCATTGTTGCCAGGTGATGTTTAGCGCCTTCGAGGCCTTTGGAGACTTGTGTGTGGTCTTGTCGGACGTTGTCCAGGGAGGACCGGGCCCTCGTGGATAATGACCTGACATCCTCTACCCTGAGGACCGATTGCCATTGCCCATGATGAGATTGAGTAGTGTACTGTCGTCCAGAGCGAGCAGTAGCAACGCCCTGAGCCGGCACTGGGACTCATGTCCACCGTTCCCGAGTCTGAAAGGCGAGGAACGCAGATCCGTCGAAGACGGTGTCAACGAAGTGCAGCAAGTCGTTAGCCAGAAGATCGAAACGAATCACGAGAACATACATGGGTTGACTATTAACGGCGGTGCCGCCAAAACCGCCAAAACGAGAAAGCGCAAAGCTGATCTCGACTGGGATTAGCCCTCAGGTGAGGTGTACGTGATGTATGTCTCAACTAAAACTCCTTTCTCACCGCAAGTTTCGCTCTCTGCCCGTTTCCTCTACTTATAGCTAGTCCCAGCATTGTACAAACGCATATCTTCACTGTGATTTCGGGCAAACCAGGGATCCGTGTTGAAAATCCTCTTTAAGATCGCACAAGTGGAAATATAGACATAAGTAGCCTTGGCAGCAGTCATTTCAGCGTTGACTTCAGGTCCTCACTTTCCACATGTAACTCGATAAGATCATTGTGTCAAAGACAGAGGAGTACTTTCGTTGACACCAATAGACCAGTCCGATCGAGGAAGTGAGAGAACAGAATAAATTCATATTGATCTGGCGCCTAAGTCTAAATTGACACCGGGAGCACTATATGCAATCGAAGAATTAACAACACAAGAAGAGATAAGACTACTGCCAAACATTAGAGAATAGATCATCAGCTCCGCCAAACCCGCCAGCCGGTTTAGAGGGAGCATTCGAGGTCGTCGTGGTCGTGGTCGTTGTTGTGGTTGTAGTCGAGATGGGTGCGGCACTGGCCCAACCGCCAAAGTCTTCGTCGGCGGCTACGGTGGGTGCGGGTTTCGAGTTTGTGCCGGGGGAGGACGGGGCTCCCCAGCCGGCGCCGATGTCGTTGGCTGTCAGCGTGTCGGGGACCTTCATCATGGTCGAGGTGGATGGGGCAGGGGCAGCGGGTTCGGGAGTGCTCCATTCGTTACCGCCCCAAGGGTCCACGTTGGGGATCATGCTCGCAACTGAGGCCGTGGATGTCGAGGCTACCGGTTTCGGAGCTGGGGCAGGAGCAGGAGCAGGAGCCGGACTGTTCAGGTTGAAAGCGGATTTCAGCTCCTGCTGAGGCGACGTCGTCATAGGCGGTGCAGCTGCAGGAGCTGCAGGAGCCGGGGGCGAAGAGAGTCCGAAGAGATCGTTGGAGAAGGATGATCGTGGAGGGTTCGGCTTGGGCGAGGGAGCAGAGGCAAAGCTGGAGAAGCCCAAATCATGGCTACTGGACGAGATGGAATCGGTACGGGACTGAGGTTGAGGCTTCGCAGGTGGGATAGTCGGAGAGGTAAGATTGTCAAAGAGACCTCCACCGAAGCCACTGCTGGCTGAGGCGGTAGGTGACGTGATCTTGGGAGCCGCCGGAGTGGATTTGGCGCTGGCAAAGCTCGTCAAATTGGCAAAAGGTGAGGGCTTTTCAGCTGGCTTGGAAGGTGGAGAAGTGGTCGAAGGGAAGCTCAGTCCGCTGAAGGCGTCGGTCAGTCCGCCTAAGTTGGAAGCCGCCGATTGCGGGGCCGGAGATGCTAAATCTCCAAACGAAGACTGGCGCTCATGTTGCACGGGAGGCTGGGGCTTGGAATAAAGAGACAGGATGGATTGTTTCAAATCAGGTCGAGACATTCCGGTCGAGCCACCAGGGGTAGACGCGGTGCTGGCTGGACGGCTGGTGGTCGCGGGCTGAGCGCTCCCGAAGAAATCGAGTCCCAGCAACGAATCACCCGGTCGAGCCGGCTTTGCGGCAGGCTGTGATTGCGACTGTTGCCTGGGCGCAGCGATCCGCGGGGTGGGATCTGTGGTACTAGGGCGAACCGGGGGAGTAATTGGCTCGTCATCACCGAAGAAGTCGATAGATGCTTGGGGTCGGTGTGTGATCGGAGGTTGGCTAGTATTCGCTACACGTTGAGACGAGGAACGCTCGATCTTTGCCTTTTCCTGGACGACCGCAAGAGGCTTAAAGGGATGTCAATTCAACCGCAGATCCAACAGATGCGCCGGTAGAGCTTACCACGTTGTCGTCACCCACATCCAACGTTGCCGGGTCGGGCATTGGTCCATCCATAACCCACCGCTTTGATTCATATTTGGTGCGAATAAAGTTCTCGATCTTACTATCCACGTTTCCATTAGTGTTGGTATACTGCTGCGATGACGGGGCCGACTCACGCTTCCGAGGGGACGTGACCAGGCGCTAGTTTGGCTTCCCAGTATCTGCGAATCCATGATTAGTATACAATTCAACCTGCGGGCATTGACGGCTCTATGAACGTACTTGTTCGCTCTGGCATTGCCCCATCTGATCACACTCTGGAGTTGTTCATCAGTCCACGAATCGAGATCCACAGACTTCACTCGGCTGATATGGGTGCCCATCCCCCTGTGGATGCCCGAGCAACGGATACATATGAAGATTCCCAAATTCCATGAGGCCCATCGCGGATCTAGTCGAACAGATCGTCAGCGAAACCAATCACGACACAGAATTCAAAGGCGCGGATTGGCAGTTGGATGTAGGCAGATACCACAAGACCAGGATATCCGGGGGCGGGCAACAACTCACGCTTGTTGCGCTTGCAATCAGCACATATCTTATTGCATTCGATTTTCAGCAGGTTCTTGATAATCTGCTGGTTCTGAGCAGCCTGGGAAGGAGTCGCACGTCGAGACATGACAGCTGGTAGAGCGGTCCTCTCGATGGCTGGAAGAGATGGAAGTAATGGTTGTTGTATTTGGGGGGAATTCAATAGCGGATGACAATACCAAGTGGCGGATGCTGTGCGGCCTGAGGCAGCCAATTGTGGATGCCCGATGACGGCCGCACGTGTCGGACATGCAAGACGGAGTCAACAAAGACTGGAAATTGAATAAAATACAAATCATCGAGTCTATAAGTCTATTATTTTTAATAGAGCCTTGAGAAATTTTTATAAAAGTATGTTATGGTCCACGTACGCCCCTCGCCTCATACCATGACTCCTCGCCGTCAGAATTATCACCCTCAAACTGCTACTATATAATTGGGTTTCGCATCTCAGATCCTCAATGCCTTCGACTTCACTGCCTCCTCATCCTCTGTAAACTTTAGACTGATACTGTTCACGCAATGCCTCTCATCTGTCGGCGTAGGATACCCCTCGCCCTTGAAGACGTGACCCAAATGACCCCCGCAGTTACTACACACAATCTCCGTCCGCTCCATCCCAAACGAGCGATCCGTATGTCTGGTCACCGCACCGGGAATGGAGTCAAAGTACGCAGGCCAGCCGCACCCGGACTTGAATTTATGCGTGGCCTTGTAGAGCGGGGCGTTGCAGCCGGCGCAAGTGTAGACGCCCTTGGACGGGGAATGGGAGTCATATTCGCCTGTGTAAGGGGGCTCTGTGCCTTTTTCGCGCAGGATGCGGAACTGTTCTGTTCAATAGATTAGATCGCTATTCTTTGGTGTGTAGTGTATTGTAGAGGGAGATTCACCTGGAGACAGGACTGCCCGCCATTCCGCCTCACTTCGTTGTTCGGGGTAGGACATGTTGGACTCCTCAGCTTTGGCACTTGAGCCGAAGAAGGAGCTTAGGAATGGAATGGTGGGCGCAGCTTTGAGGGCTGTCGCTCTTGAGATTGGGGGAGGTATTCTGGTAATGGATCGTGGAGAGACGGACGTGATGAAAGGTGTGGTGGAGAGGATGCGGAGAAAACGAGTGAGATGTTGGAAACGCATGGGGGCGGACTATAGTTCTGGGCTCTGGATTAGCGAGAAGATCAGTCGAGAATCCTAGATTTACCGATAGAAGCCTCAGCCACGCATGGGTGAAAGCGAGGCTAGTATCAAATTATCGATGCATTGCTGAATCTCCGATTTGCCTCTATGTTTTACGTCATCATGCGGAGAATCACCACCGAAAAAGGCATGCGGAAGAAAATGGGTATATTTTGTAAACAGGTAAACAAGTATGTTCGCTAGATGCAGTATTCACCGACATTAAATCCTTTGACATCAACTAGATCAACCAGATGGAATAACTGTGGGTATCTTAAACATGATCATGAACTGAAAATGGCGTAACATGTCAACGACGTCGAACAACACCGGTCACCGTCAAAACACCTTCACCCACTTCTACTCTCCATCCCTCCCTGGCCAGCATCTTACCAACAGCCGGTCCCAGGCGAGACGTGCCATCATGGCTGTGGCGTCCGACTCCGGTGATGATGCGAAAGCCTGATCGCGCTGCCTCGCCGCCACGCATGTACTTCGCATCGCCAAGAGAGTCCCACCATGCGGCGACGCGCGAACTGGCGATGCGAACGGCATCCTGGACCGAGACACCGTGCAGATCCAATGAATTTGAGGTTGACTGCGAATCGACTAGAGCATCGGCCGCAGCCGCAGCCTCCCGCTTTGCCCGCTCGAGATGATCTCGTCCCACCGAGGAGTAGTAAGCAGCTGCTCCGCCCATTAACTTGTCTGATTTTCCACGACGGTAAGCTGCTGAGGCTTTGTGGAAAGCCTCTGCACTGGCCACAAAGTGGTCGCCAGCGGTAACCCGAGCAGTACCGTGATCGCGAAGGACTCGCGACTCCACAGAATGTCTCTTGGGCTCATCATCATCGACGTCCAAGGGTGGAGGCGCAGTGGTGATTTTGATCAGGTTAGACACAGTACTGGCCGCTGGACGGGTAAGCATGGCAACTGCCAGCTCACCGGCAGCAGACGTTGAATTGCGAGTGATTTTCAGTAGCCCACCCAGTAGCGTTGGCGCAACAGATGGAAATTCTTGAGTCAATTCTGTAACTTGTGCAAGCATTAACGGGTGCGCATTGATATGATTTTCCTCAGGCGCATGTGCCATCGCAAGAGATCGAATCGTTAGCGGCAGTGAGGCTCCGTTAGCATGATAAGCAGAAGTGACGGCCTCCTTCTTCAGGACAGGTAAAGTCCTAGAACAGATGAACTCGATGTCTTTCTGACCAGCGTCCCATTTGTTCAGGGGGATATTCTCATCCCGCATGTATCCTGAGGCTGATGGAGAAGAGAGTCCCTGAACCGGGTTGTTCTTATTCTTTCCCTTGCGCTTGCGATGCTTCTTTCGCCCGGTGTCTCCATTAGAACACTCGTCAAACCCATCGATGCCCTTTGGAATGGCAAGCTTAGTTCCTTCTTCATCTTCAAGCTGCTCATCAAAGAAAGCAATGTTCAAGAGCACATCCATGGCGCGATCAATATCACCGGCAGACTTCCTAAGCGAATGCTGCACGGTAAATCGATCCACAGAGGGAAACATATCTGTCAGATAACCAACTTTGTCGTCCTCGGAGGCACCCGAGAGTGACAGCGACCCGTCAGGGCCGATCGTGTAGCGCAAAGAATTGCTGTTGCCCTGACTCCTTGTGCGCCTGTCATCCAGACCAACGGAGGAGAAGTCGGACGCGAGACTTGTGATATCTGTTTCGCGCGACGGGACAGTGCCATTTTGCGAGCCGCTGCGCTCTGACAGGATGCCGTCTGCATCACCGCTAATACCAGGACTCAGTCCGCTGGTCCCGGATGGATCGAAAGGTAGATCTTCCTGTTCCCATGCTGATAATTTCAGAGTGTCCAGGGTGTCGCGGAGTTGCTGCACTTGCGCGGGGGTTTCTAGGTCATAGTCGCAGACGATAGCTGTGAACAAAGCTGAATCCAGAGGAGGACAGTATTCCTTTTCAAGCTCCTAGATGTTCGAAACAGCACAATCCAGCAATTAGCTTCCTGTCCACTCGGGCTCCAGACGGGTAGGAACTGACTTTCAACAGGCTATTGCCTATGTCACCCATCTTCAAAACCGCTGATTATATATCGACAGAGTATTCGATGCCTCTTTCTCATTACTTGCAAAGCGAGAATCTTAGAATTTCCCTTGATCATCAAGCAGGGAGATCAAAGCTGTTTGTGCTGAGAAACCACAAATTGTCGGCGGGGAAGATTCAATGATACACCAATCACAGATGACATAATGGGCTGTCTGCGATCCCATCCGCCGGCCAGCTTCGTGACCTCATTGATAAACTACCTAGGATTGTTCAAACGTTCGAAGGTGATCCAAGATCCAGATGGCCCTTTAGATCATGAGCAGCGTCTGGGGTACTTTGGGCCAGTATAACACGTTATCTCTACATTCTCACTTATCCACAGCATTCAGAATTATGAGGTTCCGGCGCGAAAACAAATCATTTAGATCTTGACTAACATGATCAACAATGCTGATGCTGATGCAAGGGAAGCTTGGGCAGAAACAATAGCAGTGTTGTCCTTGACACTCATATAAGCCAAAAGATGACAGGAAGAAGCAAACAACAGAAGTCCCGGGCACCGAGAAGTCAATGCCCGTCCAACTCAACCCTGTTCTCTGCCTACATTGACAAAACAAATTAGATCCTTGCTCTTCCGATGACGTGCTTGGTTTCCCTGTCATGAATGCTCAAGGTGTGAAGCATATTCAAGCAACAGTCTCGTCTTCTGGTCTGTCATCCTCATTGGCGTCTTGACCCTCCTCATCGGCGTCTTGACCACCCTCTCCGCCCTGAGAAATGTCGCCAGAACCAGATTGTCCTTCGTTCGTTTCGCCATTACCGGTTTGAGACCCAGAGGTCAGAGTGCCAGTTGGGAAAATCATGTTCCCGGTGCCGGTTGATGAGCCTGAGCCGCTCGTGGACGGAATGATGCCAGAGAACAACGACCCAAACGGATTGGTTGTTGAGCCTGTGGTGGTTCCAGAGGCACCTGTACTCGCCAGATCACCGAAATTAAAGCCTTCGAGACCCTGACGTTTATCTTTCTGGGAGCCTTGAATGGGGACGGCGAAGATTATCTCGCATAGGCCGAGGAGGATGGTAACAGTCTTGAGATTCATGGTGAGTTTGTGAGAGAGATGTTATCAGTTCTATTGGCTCCTGGAGGAAAGCAGTAGAAGAAAGCCTGCGTGATGGTTGATGCTCTCAACTGGGCTGGAAGGAGGCCTTCTAGGCTCATTTATACTATGTTATTTTAAAACCACCCGGGAGCCTGCTCGACGCAAGAAGCCTCGACGTTCACATCCTCGACAATACGTACTCCCTGTCGGTGCTGATTGAAATCCTCTGGAAGTGACGAGGTTCAGCCTTAGTAACAGCGCGGAATAAGCAATCATTGCATAATACCATGTTCATATCCTCAATTCCCTTCTGCTCGCTTGAAACTGGTTGGTATTGCAGGGGTTGTGTGATTCTTCTTGCATGGTTGCTGCAGAGGCTCAAGAAAAAGCATAACAAATCCTGTATGGTATGAAGTTCAGGCAGCAGGGAAATCAAACGAGCCAGATTTATTTTGATTGTACCACTGTGATGATGCAGAGTACAATTTTACTTCGGATCAGCTCGTCATGATTAGACCTCCATATGCAGCATTCCGGGATCCGATCCTTTGGTCATTTCATTGACCTTCTCTTTAAGCGTCCCTCAGAATGGAGATCTTTGTAATAGACCTGCAGCGTTAGGATATCACCGCATCCTTGTCAAACGTGATTGCTACCAATTTCATTAGTAAAGGGGTAGGCAGTTGCAGGAGCATGTTGGATAACGTCATGGATGACCATCGACAGGCTCTAATGCAATAAAGGCACTCAGATAAGCCGACTTCTTCTTGCAAAGAAGAAGATGTTGACTGACCCCGTGCCTACCGGCGTGCGTCGATATCGTTGCGCCACTTTGGCGTAAGGCTTCCATACGAGAGTTCAGCTGTAGCCTGTATCCTCCTTATTGTATATTGACTGGCGACAGACAATTGTATTCAGAGATGGATGGAATGTGCGTCTCGTCTAGTCGTCACCGTGATGTCGGCAGGCCATTGATAGCTCATCTGCACTGCACATCGGTGGATCCGTCATCACCAAGACTGCAGCCCATTGTCACAGGATTTGGATAACTCGAATTTGCGTTGACCGACAGTATGCAGATCAATCCGAGACAAACAGCCGTAAAGACTTTCCCATTGTTTTAAACTCAAGCCTAACTTGTTCTTTGTTTGTATAGTCAAGTAGCGGGACAAAAGGAAGACCGAGAACAAACCATACCTGGGTGACCAGAACACCACCCTCCCCTATCCCATCAATCTCGAGACAGAGAGATTTGAGCACTCGTTGCTTTAAACTTTCGGCTAGATAAATCTATTTGTACATGGCCCTTCCTTACTGAGTAACATCCCTCAATCGCTACAAGGGGATCAGTAGCCTCAAAAGCTTATCTAGAATACCCGTTCATCACATAACAAGCATAGACTCTTGCTATCGCCAATTGAAGCCCAGCAATGTAGCCCAGCAACGTGCCGTACACCAGCAGCTAACTTTACACCGAAGAGGCAGTAGATAGTTGAAGCCATGACCTGTCATGATGGGGCATACGGTCAACATCTATCTTCTATATTCAGGGCACGAGGGCTCAATCACCGCTCAGTTGTGTCTTTCAGCCACACAGTCAATATGACCGCACCATCGACTCAGTAAAACTTACATCTACAATCTTGCCAATCAAAGACGCAATGCCGGAGTCATGAATTTCGTCGCTGGAGCTATAAACGAGAAAAGACACATCAGATGGAATCCCTCGCGTCAACGCACGACAAGACTTTGACCGGCCGCATATGTATCCAAATAAACATCAGATCATGCTAACATCGCTTCAGTTTAGTAAGAGACAGCCAAGGAAGGTCTTGGACCTTGTATCTATAAAGCCGGCAGTCGCCCTCTTGCGATGAGTCGATATCCATTGCATTGACATATTTCAAGCTCAAAAGGTTCTGCCTTCAACCAGTCTATTACCTTGAGATTTACCACCTCAAACCGACAAAACTTCAATCACAATGCGTTTCTTCACCTCAATCGTTACTCTCGCAGCTACCGCTGCCGGTACGTCCTCCCCATATTCCTCTTCTCGAGGTGATAGCCTTACTAACAGAACCCAAGCCCTCACCATCACATCCCCCAAAAGCCTGGACCAGGTGGATATGAGCAAATCCGTCGACATCGAATGGCAATATGTCCAGTAAGAAACCCCTCCATAGATACCTATGGGACGAAGACTAAAACGTGACAACAGATCCGACGCCCAGAACTTCTCCATCGTCCTCGTCAACATGGTCACCCAGCCCCCCGTCAACAAAGTCATCGCCAAGGAAGTCAAAGCCTCTGATGAGAAGTACACCGTGGACGGTGTCTCTGGTATTCCCAAGGCGTAAGTCCAAAGTTCGATATCCGTTTCCAGCTACAGGCTAGGCTGACTTGAATCAAAAGAAACGGCTACCAGGTCAACTTCGTCAGCACCGGGCCCACGAACACGGGGATCCTGGCTCAATCTCCCCAGTTCAACGTCACAGACGTCAAGCCTGAGCCGAAGACTACATCCACTGGTAAGATTTCTCAACCAGGATAGCCTCACAGTACAATCTAACATCTTTTCCCTCTGCAGAAAGCCAGACCGCCACCGCGACTGCTTCCGCTACAGCTACCGCTACAACTAACGCTGCTGCATCTCTCATCGCCCCAGCCGCTGTGGGCTCTTTTATCCTGGGTCTTTTCGCTCTGGTAGTGTAAAATAAGTCCCTCAGTGAGCAAGTAAGGGTGTTAGAGAGTGACGTTACAGTATGAAACTTGGGGATGTTCTTGGTATATATATATCTTTCCAACGCAAGATATACGACGGATATGAATGGTGATGTGATGGATGAGAACGTGTGGTTAATGCATTCAATTGTCTACGCAAAAGAATTAATAATTGATGATGAACTTCATTTCCTGGTCTTGCGCTCACCGCTTGTCTTCGCGGAGTACATTGGTATTGGAACTTTGATCCTCATGCAAGGAGAGCAGGATAGTGATGTATGCATGCACATCTCACTTGGTAGTGGATATCCATATGCACTCATCACACTGTAAGCTCGAATTAGTTTCAGTTCCCGGAAAGTCTCCTGCCTGTTTTGTCTGCGACTCCGACAGCATACATCCATACTAGGGCCTAAGTCGATCTCTTGGCCTTGGAATCCCTCGTCCGAATCAGAAGGTAACACACCTCTTTGGAAGTTGGTGTGAATCAATTACAGGATGGATTGTCTTGAGTAGAAGCAAATGGGTATACTAGTGGAATGTACATATATACAGAAGTTACAGAAGTAGTCAAGGGTCAGCCTTTGTCACAAGTCCTCAGAGCGAGCCCATGGTCGGTTCAGCAAATCCCGAAACGGATCCTGATCCAGCTGCGCTGGCGCTGACCGCCGGTGACGATGACTGGTCATTGTACTTGTCATTAATGCCTTCTCGAGGACGGTCCCAGGTGCGAATGTGGCCTGTTAACCTCTCGTGTTAGCGGCTGTCTCCTGAGACGACAAGAGACGAGTAGGAATTAGGGCAAATTACCTTCAAGAGAAGAGGTCATGACACAATCTTCTTGAAAGCCCAGCCAGCAGATAGGGTCCGTGCCAACGACTTTGGACTTTGAAGTTGTCAGCTCAAGGCTCAATGGTCAGAAGCTTATGAGCATTACTCAGAACTCACCATGATAGGAGGCAGCAAGGCCGTGCGCGCTCTGGGTTCTACGGGATGACGGACAGCTTGGTCATAACTCTCATAGGTGTTTGCGGTCCTCTGAGAATCTGATCTCATCCTGTTGCCCGCACTGTCAGCTCGGTGACGATTGCCATACTGTGAGCTGCCAGCGACCATGCTTGTTCGCTGACGGGCGCTGGCTTGATGCTGTTAAAGATTTGTCAGCTCATTGGATCCAACCACATCATCTTGAAGTAATTTAAC